AAGGTTTTTGAGGAAAACATTCCAGGATTTTTCTACATATAATGGACTTCAATGGTGACCAACGGGCTGAAGGTCCAAATTGCAGTTTCAGTGCAGCTTCAAAGGGCTCTACACGATCCCAGCCGAGAAATAAGGGTCTTATCTAGCCAAACGATCGGTCATTAAAATAAACAAAACAAAAAACAAATTTATATAGTTCTTAACCACATGCTCGTCTTGCACTAGCTTGACGCATTACGTAGTCACGTTGGAAAGGTCACACACGGTTAGCTCTTCGTCTGTGTACGTCTGTGTACTCTGGTTCAAAAGGGTAGGGTCCATCTAATTTTCTCCTCCAAGCTTTGTAAACACACTTCCATCTCTTCCATCTACGTCATGCGTGACCTTTCCAATGTGACTACGTAATGTGTGAAGTCGAGCTAGAGCATTTGGAGCATTTGTTTTGAGTAGTTTTTATTTTTATTTTTTTTAAATGACTGATCGTTTGGCTAGATAAGACCCTTATTCCTCGACTGAGATCATGTAGACTAGAGCCCTTTGAAGCTGCACTGAAACTGCAATTTGGACCTTCAGCCCGTTGGTCACCATTGAAGTCCATTATATGGAGAAAAATCCTGGAATGTTTTCCTCAAAAACCTTAATTTCTTTGCGACTGAAGAAAGAAAGACATAAACATCTTGGATGACATGGGGGTGAGGAAATTATCAGGAAATTTTTATTCTGGAAGTGAACTAATCCTTTAAGGAAACTAAGGATTCTAAGAGATTAAACTGTTACTCCGTAATTTATGGTCATACAGATAGAAACAAGACATCGTTTAAAACGGTAAAGCTTTTGCAAAATAAAGAAAACAAGCAGGATGCCACTTTCTGCTGTCTCGGTTTCATTTCCATGAACTTTGGGAGCGCGTCACATGAACCGAAATTCAGCACAATTTTTTTCTTTCGTTTTGTTAATCTGTTCACAAACCTTTGAATACTAGTATATGTACAAATGTGTAGTATTCTAGTATGCAGTACCATACAGATTACATTATTGCACAAGGCTTCACAAACTAATAATACATAATACATGAAGCCAAATGAAAGATGTTTTAAAGCCGAATACCTCAGCTCAGTTACATGCTTTTTCATTCATTTCAAAGTATTATTTTTGTTTTGTGAATGTGACAGGAAGTCTGCATCGTAGTGATTTCTATGGCTCTCAGCTGTAGCTGTTCAATGCTCCTCGTTTATAAAGAATATTCAAAACGAGAAAATATATTCAGCACTGTGAGCTTTTAAAAACAAATTTTGTGGACATTGAAGCTGCAGGATCAGATCACTCATGCTGTGTTTACGCTTTTATTAATAGAATAAAATGCAGGTGGACCAGGAAGGCCAAGGAGAACAGCCCACTGAAGAGGAAAAGATGAATAACTCTGGCAATAAGGTACAATTTACCTTGGCAATATAATCAAATATATTCTCAAATGCTGTTTATTTCTACTTTGAAGGGGTCATGTCATGCATGCTAGATTCTAGAGCTATCTATCTGTCTCTGGTTTATTAAAGTAATGGTGAAACAGACCGATTTGTGCTTATATCTTTTCAAATTTCTTATTTTGTTAAAGGATGGTGATAAACAAGATCAAGGTGCAAGCAGTAGCAAAGCCAATACAAAAGTGAAGAGTGTTGATCTGCCCATTTGGGCCAACACCACCCGACAGCTGGATCAAGATGTGCTCAACAACTTTGTTGATTATGAAGTAAGTCATAATTCATTTTCAGTCTGCTTCAGTTCTTTTGAGAACATGTGGAGTGGTGCGATTAATTTAACTCAGCTCAGTTCAAAGCCAGCCCTCTTGTTCCACCCTGTGCATTTTTGATTCTCATCTCAAATTAGAGCCCCATTTTCTGCGCTTTAGGCAGAATTCATTTTGGTTATATGTAGGGATGCACTGATTCCACTTTTCCAGTACTCGCCCAATACCGATACTTTTATTTTTGGTACGCGCATCTGCGCCGCCGTGCGCTCAATCCACTCAGCGTGCTTTTTTTATCAGCTCGCGCACTTCAGCTATACAGGCGTTAATACTGAATGTTTAACATTATATTCATTGCATACATATACTTCGTAGTAGACATCCTTAACTCCATTCTGCTGTCTGTTGTTCTGTTGTTGGTGTTTCTTTGTCTGAATATGGCGCTTATCACATGCTGTGTGGTGTCGGCGTTTGATATCGGGGCATTTTAACGAGTACGAGTACGAGTACAGAAGCTCAGTATCGGGCCCGGTATCGGTGCATCCCTAGTTATATGTACTCACTATATTTGTCTCTTGGTAGCTACTGTTTATAACTCTTGCCAGCTGAACCAACTGAATCTTGTACCCTGCATGTTGCTAAAATCATATGAGGGATTTAGCGTTTACCCTCAATATCCATGACAGAGCTCAATTCAGTCCTCAGGGAAAAGATATTAGTAGATCATTTCGCCAGTGAAGCGACAGCACAGCTCTAGGCATTAGAGTCATGTCCTACACTTACTAGTTCATCCTTTAGCTTAAAAAACCCCCAAAAGCAAATACTGTGTAATCTCACTCTTTAAAGCTCTTCAATCAAGCATGAATTTGGCATTACAGCTTTATGCTATTGTATTTTTGTTAGTTGACAATATTTCTTAATACTGTATGTTCCTGGTCTTATTGTGCAAAATTCATCTATGCACATGATTCCAAAGCAGAAAATGTTTGTCTTTGTAATTTTTATTAAAAAAAACACCTCTGAAGTGACTTAACTGTTTGACTAAGGTCACCTGACAGAGGTTTCATAATATAGTTTCAACATATATATTTAAATAGTAACACTTTATTTAAGGACCAATTCTCACTGTTAACTAGCATGCATATTTCTAGCATATTGGCTGTTTATTAGTACTTATAAAGCACATATTCTAGCTAGAAATCGACCGATATATCGATTTACCGATATTTTAGCATTTTACCATAATCGGATAACGGTTTTGTAATATCGGATTCACCGATAAACGCGAATTGCGCGCAGAATCGCCATTGCAGCGCGTCTGAGGGGACAACGTCGTGCAGGTACTTGATTTGCTGTAGTTAGTAAACTTTATTTAACATAACAGCCATTTATGCACAAATTAGATGCATTACATACTGTAAATGCCTGATATGCAGCTTATGCAGCTTGGCTCTAAGAAATAGAGACCAACTCACGGAAATAAAAGCGCTGAATTGAATTCTCTCTCTGTTGTCTATGCTCATCATTAGTCTCATGAATTGATGCTCAGGAAATGCTCCAGCACGGCCACTGCATGTAACTTTTAACAATATTCACATCCTAAATTGTATTAACATTTACTATATAACCATTGTTTCTTTATAAAAATATCAATATCGGTCGATCACTAATTCTAGCCCATACCTAAACTTAACAACTACCTTACTAACTGTTAACAAGCAGCAAATTAGGAGTTTATTGAGCCAAAAGTCATAGTTAATAGTTAGTTAATAGTGAGAATTGTACCTTAAAATAAAGTGTGACAATTCAAATATATTTGTAAATACACATTCAGTACTTTTAATATATTTTAAATGTAACATTGAATAACACTACTGGTAAAAAAAAGTACTTTACATGAGCTTTAGTATGTTAGACAACACATCAAAATATGATTACTACAACATAATGATTTAAAATGTTCTTGTAATTTCACATTTTTTACTTTTAAATATTAAATTTGACATTATTACAATGTTGAAGACACTTAGTGTAATCTAATGAAATTGTAATCTTGCAAATATATATATTTTTAAATACACTTTTAAGATTGGAAGCACACTACAAATGCACATTCAGTACAGTCGAGCTCAGTTATTTATGTTTAGGTTAGAGCAAAGGGTATGTTTGATGTTTCATTTATAATCTGGATAATTATAACGTTTGAGAATTTTTGTGGCTTATTAGGGAGAAAAGTTACAATGATCCAGTTTGTAAATATATATTCACTGCATTCTCTCTTCCAGAAAAAAATGATCATACAAGACAAGCTGGAGAAGGAGAGAAACGATGCTAAAAATGCTGTGGAGGAGTATGTTTACGAAGTGCGAGACAAACTGTGTGGCATCTATGAGAGATATGTCACTGAAGATGTGAGCACATAATCTCTTTGTTTACCCAGAGCTGTTCTCAGTCAAGACACTAGGGAGCTTATGCTTTGTTTCTGTATAATCTACACCACTTCTGCAGTTTAAAATCTCAAATCATTTATACATGGAACAGAACATTATAAATACTACCAAAATGAAGCTCAGGTGAGACTTATATGTATGTGTGTTGATGTTCTTCCTTTGCAGGAAAGTAACCGACTCACTATAATGCTTGAGGACACAGAGATCTGGCTGTATGAAGAAGGAGAAGACCAGGAGAAAGATATCTATCAGGACAAACTGTCTGAACTCAAAGTAGGTGCTTAAGTATTCAGGTCATGCATGTGTATTACAGTTGTGACATTTTGCACTGTTTATACATTTGTACATTAATATATACATCTGTTATATAATTTTTTTTATTTTTCTATTTTTCTAAAAAACTACATTTTTAATAGCAAGTGAATGTGTACTTGTAGTTTATCTTTAAAAACTGTACATGCAGAACGTATACTTCATATTATATTAAAGGGGTTTTATTTATTTAATTAAATAAAAAGTGACTCATGACTGTTTCTTAACAAGCTAGGATGAGCAAAAACATTTTCTGTTATACTGGTTGAAAGTCTAATTAAGGTGGTCTAAATATATTTAGACCATCATTACAATTGTACAATTATAAATATATTTAAATACATGACATAAAAATTTCATAAATGCTTGTCAATACATTCGGTAGTGCACTTTACCCATATTTCTAAGACAATAGAATTATGAAATTACATATAAAGATGTACTTAGGTCCTACTTAAGTGGGTCAAAGAAAAATATAAATTTAATCTATAATACATTTTTTTATTTAATTTCAGTTAACATCCAATTAAATGTCTGAAAACATTACATTCAGTTTATACTTATGTAAATTCCCCTAAAGTATATGAAGAGCAAAACCAATTTTTTTTTGCAAAAACCGATAACTTTGACCAAACTCCTCTCAGCTAGCACGTCTTTTCAAAGTGAAAGTAGCCTTGTCACCTGACGTGAATACAGCGCGCTGATTCGCTAAAATGGACTTATCGGCTTAGTAAAACGTACGTGAACTCGCGATGCCTTGAAAGTGGACAAAACCGGCTTTTTT